TGTTGCCTCAGCCAGTATCGGAATCCTCGGCGGGTGGAACAACGGCATTTAGAGTCCTTCAGAAGCTCCTGAATTTCGTCTTCCATATTGGTACTACTCCGGGGGCGTGGAGCAGAAGTGTGGTGGTCTTGTTCTTAAAGAAAGGCGACAACGTTCTCCTAAATAACTACCGACCGATTTCCCTTCTGAGCCGCGTCTACGTGCTGTTTTCGAGAGTCGTTACGAATCGTCTCGCACGCAGACTCGACGACTTCCAGCCTCCCGAACAAGCCGGTTTCCGAAAAGGCTTCAGTACCATAGACCACATACATACCCTGCGGCAGATTATTTAGAAGACTGAAGAGTACAATCTGCAACTTTGCTTGGGATAAGTGGACTATGAGAAAGCCTTCGATTCCGTCGAAATTTGGGCGGTGCTACAGTTCCATCAGCAGTGGCTATCAGTATATCGAAGTGCTGAAGTGTTTGTACAGTAGGGCTACTATGGCTATCCGAGTACAGAACTAGAGTTTGAAACCTATCCAACTGCAGAGAGGTGTAAGACAGGGTGACGTCATATCCCCGAAACTATTTACCGCTGCATTAGAAAACGTTTTCAAGCTACCGGACTGGAAAGGATACGTTAGATCAATGGCAAGTACATCACTCACATTCGATTGGCCGACGATATAGTCCTTTTTGCAGAATCGCTGGAGGACCTAAGTACTATGTTCAATGATCTCAATAGTGTCTATAAGGTGCACATGTAGAAAACAAGGACTATGTTTAATGTCCATGTCACACCTGTGCCGGTAGTTGTTGGGAGCACTAAGCTCGATGTAGTTGACGAGTTTTACCTGAGACAAATAGTCCGACTAGATAAGTCCAACAGGGAGCTGAAGACTGTGTATATGGCATTTTTGTGGTAAGTACATTGATTTACTTATATTTTAGTACATTAATAGGTAAGGAGATAAATTTGAATGGTGTATGGTTGTAAAGATAAAGATGATGTGTCATTGGTGGATTCGATTTACTAAAAAAATAAGTATTTTTGTGTTGCAAGAGTGATTCAGGGCATAAGTTTTTCATATTTGCCTATGAGAAATTTACGTATGTAAATTCCTTTACGGTAATAAAGAAAATTTCTTAATATTATAGACCCCAATTTTTTAAAACATCTAACAAATTGTTTTATAACGAAACTGTGTCAGTTGCAGATGCTTCTAAAAGATATTCGTTTATCTGAATGTGATATTAATTAACTAGACAGCATCCCAGGCGTTTTCAGATACAGTTGCATTCGATTAGCCAGTTATGACGTCTAGACGAGTTTACGACTGCAGCCTGTATCTATTGTGGAGCATATAAATTACCAATTTATGCTTCGTGAGTTTACAGTGGTTCATGTCGTTCATTTATTTTGTATTTGTTGCGTATGTGTGAAGCCGTACAGTAAAATAGTACGCAATATTTATAAAAAGTAGTAATATATTTTTAGTTTTTACATGAATAGTAAACAAACACACATTCTACTTAATGATAAATAGATTTGGCCCATAGGAATTTGTATCTGTGTATAATTAAAAAGAATCAAAATGCAAGCGCTGTCTGCGACGTAGACTAAACTTCACAAGAACAAATATCTGTCTAAATTACTAAGAGCTTTTACTTCGAACCATATCTCCATGTTTAAAGCAAAATACGGCTTGCCGAATGAATTTTAATATGAATTAAATATGAATAAGTTTGATGTTTCGAAAGGAACTGTATCCGTGACTTGTCGTAGCCGCTGGAAACAAGAGCGCAGAGCTAGCACGGACAGGAGACAATTTATCCACTGGAAAATGATAAAATGTTTATTCCTTGCTCAATTGTATTCACCCTTCGAGCATAAGCCTACTGGTGGATATGATATCCACAGTAGATAAAATGGAAGATAGACTTATCCTCGCAATTATTGTCATTATAAGAAAATTACAAAGTACTTCAAAATTGATGTCTAATCCATAAAAAAATTTTTTTATTAAAAAATTACCGTTTTCTGTTCTTACGATTGATTGATAATACATTAACCTCTCAGTTCCAAGTGGTCGAATCAGACCGCAGCGTTATTCCGTCAAAATCTAGATTTTATAATGCCAAACTTCTTCACGAAAATGTAGTCTCTAAATACAAGTTTTAATGGTTTTAAGTGATGCGGGCGGGTGCGGTCGCATGCGACCGCTCGTGATTTGCCAGGCGCATGCGACTGCATGGGCTTTTTGTTGGGATTAAGGGGTTAAAATTATGCAAAGCATGTATTACCACATATGTGTAAAGTAACCAGCTTAACTAATTTTCGCCAATAATCTTTCTTTTTACAAATAATTGATACTCTTTTATAACCTGTTCCTCTATATTTATCGCCAATTATTTAGTGTTCTGATACAGCCAATATAAATATGACTTTATTTATCAGAGTATAGACGAAAGGCTCAAAGAGCGTAATAACCCTTTATACGACGGCTCATACAAAGTGGCCAGTAAACTAAAAACACTAAAAACTGGACTGTCACTAAATCGTTATCTCCAATATTTTCCAACTGACCATCGTTCAAGTTTGTCGAGTACAATCACAGATTCGCGCCTTTTTCAAGATAGCCTGTGTACTAGCCACCGCGGATCCGTGCTTGAACATCTGCTGTCATGGTGTATATTTTACGTGCTTACAAGTGTTATGGTAATTAAAAAAAACAACTACTACTCTACTACTACTACACTACTACTACAGAAATGAAACTATTATTTTATCGTATATACCTTGATCATATGTGCAAAATTAATAGATAATAATGAAAAAAAAAAACAAATATTTTTGGCGATTGAATGCAAACCGATCCGTTGAAAAATATAACCTAAAAATCGCCTACCTAACTTTGAACTATTGTATTGAGTATTTATTTTTGAGTAATACCTATGAACCATATAGTTTTATGACAAGTATATAAGCATTTGTTTTGATATAATAACAAATTTACCATAAATAATCTTTATCGGTGGTTATTACCTATCAGTATGAATGTTTTGGTTTTTTCCGCCATTATTCATATACATGTACTTTACTAAATTATTATGTAATATTTTTGAATTGTAATTTCCACATTGTTTTAGACATACATACACTTATAGGAAGTTAAAGTCACTGGTTGAGGACCGATGGAATAAAGTTGTAGGTATAACAGATGATCAGGCCATACAATAATTTGACGTTGGTGGAGACTCTGATGTTAATGATTGTTTCGACGAAAGTGTTACTTTGAATACTAGCACCCTGAGCACATATATTCAAAGTAATGAATCAGGTGCTGGAACATGGTCTTCATTCCAACCACCACAGGATTTTTTTCCCACCATCGCCACCTCAACAGCCGCCGCTATCTCCACCACCACCACCACCACCGATTTTACCGAGTACAGAAGATATTACGAGTTAATTTCTATCGAAGACGCATATACTCAAGAGAATTAAGTAAATGAAGATCTAAATAAGTGGTGTAATAAAGGATTTTGAGATCCACCGATGTACAAGTATAGTACCTTTAATAATTTAATAATTACCTAGGCATATAAACCGAAGTTCATCTAAATTTATAGGAGAAACGAAAAAACTTTTGCTTTATTTCTAAAAAACAGAGAGGGCGATCATAAGCTTAAAATTTTTTCTAATAAGAAATTTTTACATAGATGTACAAGCTACAGTGCCGCTTCTAAGCCAAAGAGAAGTGTCTATGAATGCGTTCAATGTGATGTAGCCCTATATATAGAACGCTTTGTACCATTCCATAATGAAGGGCAAATTAAATAATGTAGGTGATCATTGAATTAATAATACCTATAACTTGTAATGTTTCAAAATGTTTGATTGTCTTAAGAAAAATTAAATACCTATGTTTTCGAAGAAAAATTCTATGTTATAATATTTATAATTGATAACTCATTGTTCTATGTTAAGTGAGTATAATATGTCCTATTATTAAAGGCTAATTAGGAAATTCATAATTGAAGTCTTTTATTATATACTCTTTCACAAAAATAATATAGATTTCGTTAGTGTCCACTTTGGTGGTCAGTGATTTTGCAGTGATGTTTAGAGACGCAAAACGTTCAATGGACATGATTTTCGGGGCTTTCTCGAAAAACATCAATTTTCAGGTTTTTTTCTAAAAAATGTCATTATGATTTACGACAAAGAATATATATTATGTATCACAAAATATTAGAAATTAAAAAAAAATTAAGTCATCTTCTGTGTTAGCAAAATGCGAATGCCCACATGAGTCATAGATATAAACGCAAATGGATGAAAAAGTAAACATACAATAAATTTTAGTGGAAGTATGTATTTATTAAGCTTCTTTTTTTTGTTGGGTAATTGTCAACAGCCTGGTTTAATCTACAGATGCGATGAGTTGTTCTTTAGTTGTTCTATTGGAATTTTGCAATATACAAATAAAACTAATGTTTAGTAAACAGACATTCCAATAATGATTATATGTGTGAGGATACACTCAAATAAAATGTATATATATTTACAAAAAAACAACCTTAATGTAACATGATATTGTAAAGTGTTGCATGAGATATATAATGTATCTCAGAGTAGTGGAGTATCAGTCAATGCCCAGGCTTTGGAATGTGCCTTTGAGGTACCCATTTGTTCTTTCCACACAGTTTCTAACTGTGCAAGGACAATTAGTAGGTATATTTTTCTGCAGAACTATTTTGGCAGCTATCAAATGTGGACACCTACTCGCACTCTGTAGGTGGTACCCTAGGCTTCCAAACTACAATGCATACTATTGATATTAAAAAAAATCTACTGAAGAATATTTCCAATAAGGTTGACAAAACAGTTGCAAAGTCGCTAGAGCCTTTGACGGACAAAATAAACGAAATATGCGAAAATATCAAAGAGAAATCTACAAAGAATAATTGAACTTGAAAAGAAAAAGGTCTCACTTTCTAACGTTAACAAAAATATGGAAACAAGACGATGTGCAGTGGAGCAGCCAATCCGCGAACTTGAGCAAGGCTACCTTAAAAACTATGTGGAAGTTTCTAGATTACTGGCCCTAGAAAACGAAGATCCTCTAATAGTTGTGAGAAATCTAGCAAACAAGTTAAACATCGATGACCCAGAAGTGTTAACTGCCAAACGTGTAGGAAGCTACGGAGAAAAACCAAGATATATTCCGGTGAGGTGAGACGGATATGCTCGGAGTTTTCTGCATGATGAACATAGAAATATGGATATTCACAGTAGAAACAGAGAGCCCAATATAGCCCAACGGTAACGGTAACGGTAAGCTGAAGTGCCAATGGGCTGGCCATATTGTTCGAAGAATCTACAATCGATGGGAGGAAAAGGTTCTCAAGTAGCAGCCTCGTACCGGTGGGTGAAGTACAAGTCTACACCCCCCCAATAGATGGAGTGACGACCTGGTAGGACATGCAGGAAGTTGATGGATGCAGGTGGATCGGAACCGTGCTTTGCTATTTTCAGCAGCGAACTTGTGAAGGGCTGTAGTTACTGAATGAAAAAATACTAAAGTTCACTTTTACCAACGCTGAACTTATGCGGGCTATGATGATTTGTTTACCGATAAATAATATCGACATAGTCCCACCTTACGTTGCTTACGCATGCAGCCAGCGGCACCAGTGTATCGACACGTGTACAATTTGATGGTGTGCGTAAATGCAGTTAACACAAACACAAATGATGTAGTGTGCGTGTATGGTGACGCGATTCCATTTTGCATTTGTAGTGAAGTATACAGTAGTGTGTTTTTTGCACCCCCCTAACACTGACAGAATTTTTTACGCGCGTGACCTCTCCAGTTGGTTTAATACTAAAAGGGAGTAATAATGTTCTCTGGTGGTTCATGTGAGGAAGGTAAGGAGGTTTCAATATCGCAGTCTACAAGCAAAGTTAAAAGGGTGCGTTAATTATTGCATACTTGATGTACAATATAAAGAATTTTATCATTTAATCAATAATAGCAATTGAAATTAATGGAAAATTTATTTGATTCCTGTTTTTTTTTACAAAATAGAATCAAAAACGAACACACAGTTCATCTGACGGTAAGTGAATACCGTATCTCATAGACCTTTACATTTATCCTCAATTAAGAATTAAAATGCAGATGCGTTGTCACCGCTGAAGACTAAGATAGAATGCTTCAATTCCAGTAAAATGGTTTTCTATACTCACCATTCGAAATATATCAGTATTAAGTTGCTATTTTACACTGTTATTCTGTGAGCGCGTGGTCCTTTCCCGATTGAGTTGTCCCATTCGTGGTACAATTATAATATAGCCATGCTGAATATAGTATGATAGATAATCTACCTTGCACAAAAATAGTAAATACCTCTACATTATATTTTAACGAAAATTGTAGCAACCTTTAGTCATATAAAATTTGTAATATTACAGAATTTCAGAAAGTTATTAACCGCATATTTGGCCGCAACTCAATCAGTAGAATTGATGTGAAAAAACTACTTGTTCACATTGTATTTACATAAAAAATGGAAATATTGAATATCTGAAATCATATTTTTACAAACGTAGGAAAAATAATTACGCATAAGGTAAGTTATTACGTTGGTAAGGAAATTCGAATATAAAAGCTTCTTGTTGATCGTATATTAGCTGGATAAAAAATCCACTAACTCAGATCACCCCTTGGGTTGGGCAGCAGCGTTTGCCTAATAAATGAGAAATAATTAAAAAAAAACTGCGGTTACCAATCCACCCGCCACGCCCGGCAACAAGCGACGGTGGATTCAGCAGTGAACTTTTAATAGATTGTTATGAATGACCGAATTAATTTTCTAGTAAAAGATACTCGTATGTTTAAAATTATGGTAAGAATACGTAAAATATTAATTTAATTCCAGCTTTTCATTTAAAAGAGGGTTTTAGGATAGGGAAATTCCACCACAAAGTATAAAGAGCTATATTATTGTTACAGCGGGAATAGGTTGGTTCAACTGAGGAAGTAGCAAGCTCACACAGAATACTAGCAAAAATAACCACTTTATGCTGCTTTGATTTTTATCGTGCGTGGAGAGAACTGGGGACTCTTTTTAATAGTCGTTACACATTTTAACTTAGTCCTCAGGAGTGAGATTATGTCTACATTTTCTTAATCCAGGGTAAATAAGGTAAGTGTTGCCTCCGAACGGGTTCCCGCCTCGTCGTGGCGGGGTGGCTTAGTAGCCGTGGCTTGGTCATCCGGGGTGAACGAATAGGAAACCATATAGCTGGCCCGAGGTGGCCACTACGAGTGGTCTTGGCGAACCTACTACGGATGTGTGCTGGTGGGCTACGATGAGAGGTTGTCCTCTCCCCTTACCGCTGCGGCCAAGGTGAAGTCGCGAAGAAAGAGGAAAGTTGGTGTGGCCTATCCTCCACGACTCAAACAGGGCTACACCGTTGATGCGGTGGTGGAGGGGCTGCGGGGGAAGAGGAGTGTCGATATTGCGTGACGTTGTTCTCCCTACTTTGCCTGAGCAAATCTTGGTTGGCGGCGGAACCATAGACCAGACCCGCCGCTAGGACCAGAAAGGCTAGTGCTTTTGAGTGCTCTCTTTTCCTGGTCCCATGGCCTTCACGTTTTGGACACGGGGTCGTCCGTTACGCAGGTGTAGTTAGAGCCCGTGGAGGAAGACGCACCATGTATTCTGGTGCGCCTTACCTAAGAAAGAGATGGGGTGACGTCAACCTCTCCCGCGGGGTAGCCGCCATGTGGTATCCGGCGCTGGTGGGGCCGCTGATGTGTGCAAAAGAGTTCCTGTGACCCTGCCAATATTTTTAACGAAGGTAGAACACCGTGGGGTTTTAGTCGGCGCGAGTCCGACATAACCTTGCCCCCGCGAGTATGCGCAGGCATTTCCCCATTCAAAAAAATATGGCCCTGATTACGACTACAATTTCATTTGTAAACTTGTGCCATTTAATAACTTCTTAGGATTATTTCCTTATATTTTTACTAGAACAAATCATTTAACTATTTCATTATCACTATAAATTAGATTCATAATATATGAATGAATTATTAATTATCAACATATATTTATTCATATGATTCCTCAAGGAACTCCAAATATTTTAATACCATTTATATAACTACCTAATTGGAGCTATTAGTAATATTACGCGACCAGGAACTGTAGCTGTTCCTTTAACTGCTAATATAATTGCAGGACATTTATTATTAACTTTATAAAGAAGAACTAGCTCTAGTTTATCATGTCATTTTAATTTTTACACAAATTTTACTTTTAATTTTAGAATATACTTTTGCTATTATTCAATCTTATTCTATTTTTATTCTTAGAACTCTATAATCTAGAGAATTGAATTAATGATATTAAATCATAATAACCCATATCATTTAGTAGATTATTGACCTTTAACCAGAGCTATTAGAATAATAACTTTAGTTACTGGTATAATTAAATGATTTCATAACCTTAATATAAACTTAATAATTTTAGGTTAAATTATTATTATTATAACTATATATCAATGATGACGAGATATTTGTCGTAAAGGAACTTTACAAGGTAAACATACTATCTTAGTTTCAAAGAGGATCGGACGAATAATTACGTATCTTTAATATGATCTGTAAATAACCTGAAACTGTTTATATTTTTATTAACTTTATATTCTTTACAGCTCTTGAGAGTGTATAAGAAGCACAAATAAATAATAAAATTAATGTTATAATATGCGGCCCCCTGCCACAAATCAGCCATTATAGGTAACACAGATTAGTAATTCGGCCAGATGTTATTTTAAACTTATTGATGATAAATACTGAACCTAATTTAATTATTAAAATAACGGTTTATGTGTAAGGCAATGAACAATTTCAACTTCTTGAGCGTGACAGAACTTTATATTAAATTAATTATTTTAGCTTAGAACTTGCACTATCTTCAAACGTCGTGTAGTGGTTATAAGAGAACCCCCAACTAAAATATCACTTTGTGGATATTACAAAAGAATATTATCTTCTCGATAACAACTCAATAAAAACTGCAGATCCGCTTGTCAAGCTTGATATTACAAATTACCTATGAGGCATTCTATGGTGGAGGCCGGTGTTCATAAATGTACTTTTGAATTGTACGTTTCGTAGTTTAGCGATAAAGAAAAACATAAAAAATACAACGTGATTGCACTAAGGCCATGGATAATACAAAGATCTCTCACAAAATAATTTAAAGCAACGATTGCCGGATCGACTACGTTACGGGACTTACACTAGATTATTCATTTTATTAATTTTTTGCTCCATAAACAGGTTAACAAGATGACTGTGAAACGAGGCTAGAAACACCTCGTCCGTGTCTAGTCTTTATAGCAGTAAGGAAAAACTTAAACTTCTCTGTCGTCCGAGAGGCGTAACTTCCATCTGGTTCAGTCTAAGAAAGAGATAACTATATATCTGAGATGTGCCGAGTTTTTTGGTATAGCTACCTTAATACCGGATTTTTAGGCCTCGTACCGCACTGAATAAATTGCCAACACGTCGTACCCCCGCACACCTCGTACCGCACCCTACGCTAGCTTTACGCGGTTAGTGTTGTGCAAAACGTTGAACGCTGCGCCAAACGTGCCAAACGTTGAATGCTGCGTGTGACGATATAACAAGATGTCGAAACGATGCCGAAGAAAGTTAACTAATAATATTATTAATGATGAAGAGGAATTTGTGATAAATCTAATTCCAAATTACCGATATTTGAAAAACAGGTAAGTTTCCAATTAATATTTACAAATTATACTCAGCATAAGTGAAATAATTATGTAGGAATATAACAAATAAATTCAACTGACAAAAGCATAACACACATCGGCTGTAACGAACCCATACTTAGGTATAGTAATGCTCACCTAATCTAATATAATCTACACCTAATCAACCCGCTTCAAAAATACACTATCAGTTTTTTTTTTAGAATCCGCTCCAAACAATTCACATCATCTCGAAAAAGGATCAAAGAAGAGGAGATGTGTAGAATGCTACGAAAAACTTCGCACCTTCTTATCAAGTCGTGAGGGTGACAAAAAAGCAAAGAAAATTCTCACAGAATGTATCGGTTGCAAAAATAATATTGTTTGACTTGTTTTAATAAAAAGCATCCATAATACAATTAAACAAAAATGATATTTTTATTT